CACGGGAGAAGCCATTCTCTGTCTCTCCCATCTTCTAGAAGTTTCCAGCAGCCCTTAGCTCCTGGCTGCATCGCTCTTCCAGCTTCCTTGGTGGCCTCTTCCGCTTCCTCTGCTTTGCTTCAGCCTGGGTCGCACTCACGAGAAGTGCTGGGACAACGTCCCAACCTCAACATCTTTCCCCGCATGGCAAAGTCTCTTTTGTCATATACGGAACATTGACGGGTTCTAGGAACTAGGCCTTGGACATATTTGGGAGACATTATTCAGCCTACCACGCTTCTCAGAGGTTTCTATACCTCTGACCCAGTGTTTCCTTCAATAGTATAGTGATCAAAACAGTAGAAGCTTGGAGGGGTTCGGGAGCAACTGTTGTCTTCAGTAAGAAAATCAGGTCCTCAGGGAAGACCCAAAGCACAACAGCTCCCAGGGCCTGATCGGCAGGAGCAGGGGGCCTTTCTACTGCTTGAGTGGGAGGAGCCTTCAGCTTGCCCCAGTCAAGCCCTGCGCCTATCACAGTAACTTGTAACCAGTAATTATAAGAGTTCACATTTTCCATGATTTAATAAGGAGAATCTCATTTTTATTAATTAGCTGAAATACACTAGATCCCTGAAACACCCTTACAGCTCAGCCTCACACATCTGTTAGTCTTCCACCAACCACTCTGTAGCCTACTCATGAGGCAAGGAGAGCAAGGCTGAGGGACACCGTCAGCCCCATCCCAATATTAAAATCATAACACAGATGGGCAACTTCTTACAAGGCTCCAATGGGCCTGGGGGAAACACCAGAGAAAACCCTGTCCACTTCTGCAAGAACCTCCTTTGAGAAGATCAGCCTCTACCCACAACAGTGTGCCTCTGGGCTCCTCTGCTCATGTCTCTTGAGCGCCCCCTACAGCTCCACAGCAGAATATGCAGGCACAATGCCCATTTCAAGCCTTTAACCAGCAGCCACCAGAGTTGACCTTCATGGCCCACATCCTTGCTTTGTTCCCCATTTTCCACTTCACGGTGCATTGCCTCCTGAAAACAACTCTGCGAGGTGGGCACGGTCGTGTGTCCCTCTCTTCAAGTGAGGAGACAGGTGTGATGCACAGATGAGTGGCCCAGCCATACACACAGGGGTGGTGCTGGGATCCCAGCAGCGGGTGGCATGGATGACGGAAACCGCTGCCCAGGCATTGGATGCTATGCCATTCCATGCGCACTACACTGATGCATGGGCACAGCTCTGCCACAGGCACACAGATCCGGGGAAATCCAGAGGTCACTCGCGATTCAAGCTGGGCAAATGCTCCCTTGGAACAGAAGGCAGCGGACGGACTCAAAGCGCACAGAGACGGTGGAGAGGGGGAAAGGCGAAAGGAAACACTCAGTCTTAGAGGCTCAGCCGCACCTGACCAGGAGGGAATATCTCCGAAGCTCTTGCATTCTATTTTAGATCTTTGGTGAGATGGAAAAGTAAACCATCTTGCTTTTACAACACTGCACCATGCTGCCCAGAGGAACCCTAAACCATGCCCCTCAAAACCATAACTTTTGTGGGTTTTTTTTTTAAGATTTATTTTATTTTAAATTATATGTATTCCTGTATCTGTGGTGTGTGTGTGTGTGTGTGTGTGTGTGTGTGTGTGTGTGTGTGTGTGTGCACATGACTGCAGTTGCCCATGGGAACCAGAAGAGGGCATCATATCCTCAGGAGCTGCGAGTTACCCCAGATTCTGGGAACTGAACTCAGTTCCCTGCAAGGGCAGCAGAAATCTTGACCTCTGAACTTCTCTCCATCCTCTTAGCCTTTGTTCTAACAAAATCTATCCATTTAAAATATGGTCGCAGAGGAGCACTGTAAAACGGGACAAAGGGAATGATGTTCCTCACTAATCAGTTGTGTGTGAGCCACGGAATTGATGGGGTACTGAAAAGGGTTTCAAGACAGTAAATCCAAGAGAACAGAGCAAGAGGCAGGGGCCTCCGAAGAGGCAGGGGCCTCCGCTTCAGTTATCCTGAGTATAGATTTTCATCCATGCCTGCATGCTTGTTTAACAGACTTAAGCCTTTAAGTACTAGGCTGTCTGCTAAGACCATGAGGGCGCACAGACCACAGCCAGAAGTGAACTCCTCGGGGAAGTGTTGTCTTGTTCTAAGTCACATAAGACGCTGCACGGGATTAGCAGCCACCCTCAGGCCACGGTATTAACAGAAATGTTCCCTGCATTTTTAGGTCAGGGCCCACACACTTCTTGGCTGAATGCAGCGGCAAACATATTTGTCTGGATTTCGCTTTGTTATAAACCAAAGGGTTGTAGAGGAAATCTGGATGTTCCAGCTATCTTGAAACATAAGAAGGCCCAGCAATCCTGGGCTTGCATTCCTACTTAACAATGACAAAGCGGAGTCAAGCGAGGACTGTTCTTAGTGAGGGGAAATTGGGTTCCACCTCTCGCCATCTCTACCACTCCCTGCTGTCTCTTCAGCAATCCCAGCAGCTCGCCTTTGAGTTTGCCCAGTAGAGAGAAGCGAGCTCAGCTTCTCAGGCTGGGTGAAAAAGACAAGCGTCTAGACCAGTGTTTCTCAACCTGTGGGTCCCGACCCTTCGGGGGCTGAATGACCTTTTTCACGGGGGTTGACTAAGACCATCGGAAAACACAGATAACTTTTACATTACGATTCGTAACAGCAGCCAGATTACAGTTATGAAGTAGCACGGGTCACCACCACACGAGGAACTGTATTAAAGTGTCGCAGCATTAGGAAGGTTGGGAACCGGTGGTCTCGAGAGGCCCGCTCAATAGTGGGATGTGCTAACAGCATAAATTCAGAACACTCACTTAGTGGCTCAGCTAGCCTAGAAATCAGGCTCCTCCTGACCTCTAACACGCAGCCTCTCCTGGGCTCATGCAGACAGCCACTGTAGTCAGAAAAGACAGGGTCCACCCAAGCCCCAAGTCACGAGTGGTCTACGGGTCCATGGTGGTGCCAAGTTCCTGGCCTTTGAATCATCCTTCCAGAGAAACCCACCACAACACCATCTGCATGAGATCCTCTGTGTTAGCATTAACACTGGCCCTATTAACGTCTTACATGGTCTAGAATAATATTGCTATGCAAAGACAGGCATGCCCCCAAGTTCTCAGTGTCCCCCATTCTATTACCTGCAGACGACCAGGGAACATAAAGACCATCCATGTCAGCAGCCACCAGGGTCCTGTCCAGGAAGCCATAGGGTCCAATATCCTAGGAGCCTCCCTCACAGCCTACAAAAAAGAAAAAAGAAAAGGCCTAGTTTCCAACCAGCTCTGGCTCCAGAGACAGAGTCTGTGAGCTAAGAAACCAATCGGAGGGCAGGGACCCTGAAGCCAGGCAGTGTCTCAGAAAGGTTTGTGTTGGCCCAGGATGGGATTGCCTGCTGCAGAATGGAGGCGATATGGGGCTCCCTTTAAGATGAGTCCACCAAGACTGGGGAGGGGGCAGGGACTACCCCCCAACCCCCATCAGCAACTCATACTTCCAGCTCTCCAGAAGTCGAGACACCCCTGCACCAGCCACCACCCAGCCTGGTTGTCAGCACCAGGGTGTGGCTTTTGGCATTGTCTGGGGACGCCAGCCTACAGCCAAGGGTTAGGGCACCTGCCTGCTTAGTCTCCTCGCGGCAAAAATGAGTCTAAAACCAACTAAACTAGACCAGAGAGGGTAGGAATCCTCCTAAGGTCACACAGCAAAAAAGTTACACAGTGACTCTAGGATTGGAAAGCAGATAGTTTGAGGCATTTCTCACTAGACACACAGAGTGCCCTCTGCTTCCAGACCTGCGGCTAAGAGAGCTCTGGGGGGGCACAGTCTTTCAGAGTGTAGTCTCTTAAAGGTGAGGAAGAACGTCGCCCAAGAGGACGACGGGGACTTTTTTTTTCTCCCAGTGTTTTCTCCTGTCAAATTTACAGGGAACTGAGTTTGAGAGGAGACTGGAAAAGCCGAGGTCACACTCGACTCCCGCTTCGCCTCGCGGGCGCCTTGGCGGAGAGTCGGTGTCCGGGGGCGGGTCGGTGGCTTCTCTCCATCTGGAGAAAGCATTAAGGCCTGGCTTAATGCGATCCGCAAATGTGCTGCTGTTTCCGACCTGAGGCGGCAACTCTGGGACGAAGGGAGGCGGCCAGGGCCGGGCCCCGGGACCACGCGCCCCTCTCCGCTGGCTCGCACACTCCAACGCCCGCTGCCCTCACGCCTCCTTCCCTGGCGTGCGTCTCGCCTGGGTCCTCTACGCTCCAGGCTTGCGAGCCTCAGTAGCCAACCCTCCGGACCTTCGGACACTCCAGGCTGCGATCAACCGGCAGTCCGCTCACCCTGTAGGGTGTCCCCGTCATCGAAGGCGCCCTTCGCTCGCCGAGGACCCGGGAAGGTTCTGCCCAACGTGCCGGGCCCCGGTGGCGTGCGCCTACCCAGAGCTCTCTAAGTCCCGTAGGGTAGTGCTCCGGTTGTGAAGCCCCGCGACCAGCGTAGGACCCTACTTGCCAGTGGCGTTCCCACCAACTTGCCCAGCCTTACCATCCTGGGAGAGACCTGTCCCCGGATCTCCGCGGGTGTCCCTGCTCCCAACCCGGCGGCGCCGCAGCAGCGTCTGTGGGTGCCGCAGGGATGCGCTCTGCGGAGACGGAGACCAGCCGCGCCAACTCGGCGACACCTCGTGCGGAGCGCGGGATCCCGACGGTCCCCGACGCCGGCCTCCAGCCTGCGCCGCCGCCAAAGTTAAATGGGGCTGGGACGCGGCCGCCCCGCCTGTCCCGCCCCTCCGGGCGCGCGGAGCGCAGGGCTGGCCCCGGCCCAGAGGCGGAGGGCGCGCGCCGCCACCTGCGCCGTCTGTCCCGCAAGTGCGCGCCGCGCCCCGGGGCCGGTCCGTCCGTGCCGCCTCTGCGTCCTCCGATGGAACCGCAAGCCGCGGGGAAGGCGAGGGCAAGCAGGAAAGCGGGCCGTAGCCGGGCGACTCGGAGCGCGCGGAGCCGCGGCGGCCACGGCGAGACTCGGCTGGAACGCTTCTCCACCCGCTTCCTGGAAGCCACTCCTCGCCCTGGGCCTGCAGCCAGGCCTGGTGCCAGGAGCCCCGGCTGCCGCCGCCGCCGGCAGCGCGCTGGGGAGAGGCAGCGGCTGCGCCACGGGCCAGCCGGGCCAGCCGGGCCAGTGCAAGGATGCCATCCCCTCCCACTTGCACCGCCTGGCCCGGGCGCCGCGTCTGCTAAGTCGCACCCCGGGAACAGGCTGCCCGGAGTCACTGGCTCGTGCTGGGAGCCTTAGGAGCTTGACCAAGACCCATCAGCAGCCTCTGCGGTCCAGGGATTTTTGGCTGCAGGGGACCGTGGGTGACCCAGCAGAGACACCTAAACCTGATACCTGAAGCCCCGGGTATGAAACCGGTTTGGGTGACCTCAGCACCAGAGCCTAGGGTTTGTGAAGGAGGTGTCCCAGTCGAGAATAGAGGGAGGGGTGAGGATGCCTTCGGCACTTCTGAAGGGAAGAAAAGTCAGGGAAAAGATACAAGGGTCTTGGCTTCATTCCAGCCAAGGGAGCCAAGGGCCAGGTGTTCCTTTTAAGGTCTGCAGCGCTGTGCTGCCACCCTTAGCTCCCTGGAGTGATACTACTTTGCCAGGCGATGTGTGTGTGGCCAGCCATCCCAAGAGCAGTAGTTCCTAGCGTTATCCCAATCCTCGGGGAATAACTTGCCCACGGTGATCAGAGAGGCCAGGTCTGGAACTGGTAGCTACTTCTCTCAGGAGTCTGAAACATTTGCATCAAAAGGTGCTCTCTTGCCTGCCAGACTGCTGGTACTTCCAGACTGTTAGAGCATTACCAAGAGTTCTCCCTACCTGCCTTCCTCATCTTTTCTTCCCTTCCCCAGACAGATGGCCTCCTCTGACCAGAAGAGCCTCAGGACTCTCCCTCCACTCCGAGGGGGAAAATGGCTGGAGTCTTAGGGAAGATGAGCAGGTGGCGAGTGGGAAGAGATTCAGGGGGAACCAAGAAAGGAGGGCAGAGCTAAACCAGGACTAACTCACCTGCAGACAACTGAGTCTCTCCTCCGATCACCCCAGTTTAGCTCTGGAAAGTGAGGCAAACAATCCATTTATGAACACTGGGCTATTACCCTGGTGGGTAAAGCAGGATTAGGTTCCCATGAGCCTCTGGTCACATTTTGTCAGCCAGTTGGAACACTGCCTTATTTTGTATCCACTTCCACATAAAGACACCTTGTGTGACACATGTCATTCGTTTGCATTGACCTCAGGGTACCAGCACCTGTAACTCCCCTGTGATGTGGGTGTGAACAGCTAGAGAGCAGCCCTTTAGGGGACACATAAACAGCACTATGCTCAAGGGCAGTTTAAAACAATGAAACCACAAACAACAAAATGTCGCAAAGAGGACTTCCAGGGTAACTGTCTACACAATAGGAGCTGAAACACACAAGAAGAGAGAGCATTGGCTTGTAGGACCTTAGCAGTGACTATGCATACCAGTGGACCCAAAATTCTCACTGGTCTTCAGAAGACTTTGAAAGTGCTATGTGTGTTGATTACAGGGTGACAGGTGATAAGTTAAACAAAAAAAAAAAAGACATTGCAGATGAGAAGGCTCCGTGGTGTGCACATCTGTGTCAGTGGATCAATAGAGGACTTGCCCTTGTTGTTGGTTACATTTCACAACATCTATGACACACCATGTGCTAGTATGAATGAGAATGGCCACCATAGGATCATGTATCTGAGCCCTTCGTCCCCAGTTGAGAAATGGTTTGGGAAGGATGAGGAGGTGTGGCCATGTTGGAGGAAGTGTGTCACTGGGAGTGGGCTTTGAGGTTTCCAAAGACACACTATGCCTGCTGCCTGCAGATCAAGATGTAAAGCTACTGCTCCAGTACCACCCCTGCCTGCCACTGCCACACTCTCCACCATGATGGTAACACACTAGCCATCTGAAACTGTAAGCCAGCCCCCAATTAAATGCTTTCTTTTCTGAGAGTTGCCTTGCTCCTGGTGTCTCTTCATGGCAATTAAACAAAACTGGGACACACCAGGATCTGTTCTAGGCATTCAACAGGCATTACCAATTCAGCCACCAGGACAGCTTGTTGGGTGGCGCATTGGTTTGACATAAAACACTTAGAGGAGATTTCTTTTGGCTCACAGTTTCAAAGGTGTCGGTTTATTGTGGCAGGGTAAACATGGAACAGAGAGCAGTTCACATCTCGGTGGCCAGAAAGCAGAGAAAAGGAAAGGGACCTGAGACCTGCTAAATGGTCTTCAAGGTTACAGCCTCAGTAACCTACCTCCTCCAGGTAGACTGCACTTTCCAAAGTTTCTACCACCTACCAAAATAGCACCATGGGCTGGGCCCCAAGCACCCGGTCCACAAGCCCGTGGGGAGCTTTTCACCATTCAAACCATAACAAGTCAATGTTTTTATTCCTTTTTTACACAGGAGACACCAGAGTAGAAAGATTTAACCACCATATGTTCTTAGCAACTGGACCGATTTCTCAGATCATTCACATTCGAAAACTGGCCTTCAAGTACCATGGAATCAACTGGAAAACGTGCATGAATATTCAAGGAGAAATGGAGAATTCAAAGAACCATTGTGTTTATGCCTTGGCAGCTGCACCAAGCTCACCCCCCTGCGTGTGCAGCAGAGGAAGGCCTTGAGGATGCCTCTGGAGTTGGGGACATGGCTGGGAATGTTTAAGTGGCTCTGCTCTTAGGTATCAATGTCTCCACAGAACTTCCTGTCTCATTCTTCCTTAGGCGCTTTTGATTGCTGAGCCAGCCTCCAAGGAATGCCTGACACTGTAAACTGGGGCCAGGACAATCTTTATTTCTTCAGCTTCCATCTAGAGTCAGGCTGTCCCTACAAAGAGTCGGCTGAGGGAGAAAATCGGAACAGGAAATGCCACCCGTACTCTTATGGAAGCTCTGCCACCCTGCTGATTCTGACACGTGGAGCCATCTCATAGGGGTGGCTGGGGTGCTGGGAATTAGGGTGACAAAGTGTTATAGAGGACGGACAGACTCCACCTACGGCCTATCTACACCTCAGAGATGTCCCAATGCAACAGTTAATCTTAATGGTCAACTTGACTGGATTCAAAACCACTGAGGACATTATAAAGCACATGTCTGGTGTCATGTTTCGAGATGTTTAGATCCATCCTGATGGGTCTGACCTAGTGAATACATTAGTCCCTTGATGGATTCCTAATACAAATGCCTAACTGGGAGGTGTTGAAATGTAGGCAGTGGACCTACTTAGAGGAAATAGGCTGCTGGAGGGGCGGGCGGGCTTTGGAGGCTCTGGCTTCCCCTGGACCCTTCCTGTATTCCCTTTTCTTTGCTTCCTGGCTGCTGTGGTGTGGACACACCACAGCCTTGGCCATTCACTAGCCTCTGCTCTACTCTGCCCAAGTGCAGATGGTGCTGGCTCTCAGTCCCCATTCTGCCCTCTCAGCCTTCACATCCTCCCCTGATGCCTGACCCAAGTGTTCCAGGAGGACATGTCAAAGGCACGGGACGGGGGAGATTGGAGAGTGGGATGGACAGGTATTGGGGAACCCCGAGAGCTTCCGGATGACCATTGAGTGTGCTTCTCACATGATCCATCACTGGAGTCTAGATCAGGCATCTTCCTCTAGCTCTGGGCTTACATTGCCCTGAGAAGCTACCTGACCCGGGGACAAGGGAATACAGGCTGACTTCCCCAGAGATCTGGGAAATCAAGTTGTTTCCTGCTAAGATGTGCCTTCTTACCTTCCTGGTCTCTGGCACCTGTCCCAGGATCTGTCTCTGCCTACAGGAGCTTCATACATTCCTACTCCTGTTTGGGGAGGTTATGAAACCGTTAGGTGCTGCAGATATGAGGTATGTCACTGGAGCTGGATGGGTTTGCAGCATCAGCATCCTCCATCTTGCTTTGCTTCCTGTCTGTTGATAAAAGGTGAGCAGGTAGCGTCTTCTCCTGCCACCATGCCATGCCTTCCCGGACACTGTAGGGTCTCTTCCCCTGGAATGGTAAGCCAGTTGATTTTGGGGCATGGTGTTTTACCACAGCAACAGAAAGTTAACAAAGTCCCTATGAGGAGGTCATTATGTCAAGCAACCGTGGAACCTGGAGTGATATGAAAATCCCAGGATGCTGGACACACCAGAATCTTAAGACATTTGCCAAGGAAAGTTAGAAACAGGAAGTGAAACCAGATAGAGGGGCATGTGGATTACAAACAGCAAAGCTGGAGGGGTGGAACCGTCTAAGCCATAGAAAACAGAAGCCCCAGATACTGGACATGGAGCTGTAGGATTTGATTATTTACCTGCTGGGTTTGGGGCTTGTTTAGAATAGAAATTTAGATTCTGTGCCACTCAGTGTTGGAAGTATGTGACGGCTTTAATTTTATAGGGGGTCACAGTTAAGAGAGTTTGGACTTTGGAACTGTGTTGAAATTATTAAAGACTTTTGGTGTTATACTAAAATCATTTTGCATCATGAAATGGTCCTGGGCCTATGGGAGTCAAGGAGCTGGCTGTGGTGGTTTAGATGATAAATGTCCCCCAGAGGCTCATATATTTGGACATGTGGTCCCCAGTTGGTGGCACTGTTTGGGGAGGTTATGGAACTTTTAGAAGGTACATCCTTGCTAGAGGAAGCACATCACTGGGGGGCTGTGAGGATTTATAACCACCCCACCTCTCTCTCTCCTCTCTCTCTCTCTCTCTCTCTCTCTCTCTCTTTCTGCATGTCTCTCTGTGTGTCTCTGTCTCTCTCTGTGGTGTGTGTGTGTGTGTGTGTGTGTTTCCTGTGTGTATGCAAAAATGTGATCATCCAGATTCCTGTTCTTGCAGCCAGGCCAAGCCTTCCCCACCATTATGGACTCTCCCTCTGGAACAGTAAGCTGAAATAAACCCTTTCTCCCGTAAGTGCTTTTGGTAATGGTTCATCACAGCAGCAGAGTTCGACTTGATGGG